CATCTCAGAAGCTACCTCAGAAGCTACCTCGGGATCCATCTCAGAAGCTACTTCGGAAGCTACCTCGGAATCCGCCTCAGAAGCTACATCAGAAGCTACCTCGGAATCCATCTCAGAATCTACATCAGAAGCCACCTCTGAAGCTACCTCTGAAGCTACCTCAGAATCTAAATCAGAAGCCACCTCTGAAGCTACCTCGGAATCCGCCTCAGAAGCTACATCTGAAGCTACCTCGGAATCCGCCTCTGAAGCTACCTCGGGATCCATCTCAGAAGCTACATCAGAAGCTACCTCCGAAGCCACCTCTGAAGCCACCTCAGAAGCTACATCTGAAGCTACCTCTGAAGCTACCTCGGAATCCATCTCAGAAGCTACATCAGAAGCTACCTCGGGATCCATCTCAGAAGCTACTTCAGAAGCTACTTCAGAATCCGCCTCAGAAGCTACATCTGAAGCTACATCTGAAGCTACCTCGGAATCCATCTCAGAAGCTACCTCAGAAGCTACCTCGGGATCCATCTCAGAAGCTACTTCGGAAGCTACCTCGGAATCCGCCTCAGAAGCTACATCAGAAGCTACCTCGGAATCCATCTCAGAATCTACATCAGAAGCCACCTCTGAAGCTACCTCTGAAGCTACCTCAGAATCTAAATCAGAAGCCACCTCTGAAGCTACCTCGGAATCCGCCTCAGAAGCTACATCTGAAGCTACCTCGGAATCCGCCTCTGAAGCTACCTCGGGATCCATCTCAGAAGCTACATCAGAAGCTACCTCCGAAGCCACCTCTGAAGCCACCTCAGAAGCTACATCTGAAGCTACCTCTGAAGCTACCTCGGAATCCATCTCAGAAGCTACATCAGAAGCTACCTCGGGATCCATCTCAGAAGCTACTTCAGAAGCTACTTCAGAAGCTACCTCTGAAGCTACTTCAGAATCCGCCTCTGAAGCTACCTCGGGATCCATCTCAGAAGCTACATCAGAAGCTACTTCAGAATCCGCCTCAGAAGCTACATCTGAAGCTACATCTGAAGCTACCTCGGAATCCATCTCAGAAGCTACATCAGAAGCCACCTCTGAAGCTACCTCGGAATCCGCCTCAGAAGCCACCTCTGAAGCTACCTCGGAATCCGCCTCAGAAGCCACCTCTGAAGCTACCTCGGAATCCGCCTCAGAAGCTACCTCAGAAGCTACCTCAGAAGCTACCTCAGAAGCTACCTCAGAAGCTACCTCGGGATCCATCTCAGAAGCTACATCAGAAGCTACATCAGAAGCTACCTCCGAAGCCACCTCCGAAGCCACCTCTGAAGCTATATCTGAAGCTACCTCTGAAGCTACCTCGGAATCCGTCTCAGAAGCTACCTCTGAAGCTACTTCAGAATCCGCCTCTGAAGCTACCTCGGGATCCATCTCAGAAGCTACATCAGAAGCTACCTCGGGATCCATCTCAGAAGCTACTTCAGAAGCTACTTCAGAAGCTACCTCTGAAGCTACTTCAGAATCCGCCTCTGAAGCTACCTCGGAATCCGTCTCAGAAGCCACCTCAGAAGCTACATCTGAAGCTGCTTCCAGCATTACATCCGAAGGTGTCTCTAGTAGTGCATCTGAGAATGTATCTAGCGTCGAATCTGCTTCTACTACAGGAGCTGCATCAAGTATTGAATCTGAATCGACCTTTGAAGCAACCTCGGAGACCAGCTCAGGAGCAGAAACCAGTGGTACAGCTACTTTGCCGGTTATTTCGTCATCTAGCAGCGCAACTCCAACTTCCGAACTTTCATTCGAAGGTTCAGATGTTGGTGGTAATCCATTCTTCCGTTTAACTGTTCCAGGATTTATGTCACCATTCAGTGCTGCCTTGAGTAATACAGGCTTCGGTTGGTCATCATTTGACATATCTGTAAGTGGTGTTAGCCCAGTTCCCTCAAGTTATTACGTCTTTACAGAAACATCATCAACTACCAGATTGCTCGACTTTGTCGAAACATTAGATGATACCCAGGTTGCTATCGCTAGTTTCGGAGGTTCTGGGTCTGGTAATGGATTATATGTTGCTGTTGTTGAGATCATTCTCAATGACAGTAGTTTGTTGAAGATGGCCAAACGTGCTCAAAGCACAACCACATTAACGGCTACGGCTACTGTGACTGACGCTTCATCTGGTAGTGCTAGCTCATCAGTTGTAACATATTCAGAACTGGGTTCTGGAGCAGCTTCTGATTCTAGACTGAGCGGTACCTCTTCTGCAGTGACTTCAGGAGTTTCTTCACTGAGTGCAGCCGATTTGTCTTCGACTCTCACTTCTAAGGCATCCTCAATTGTTACCCTGACAGCAACAGTTATCACCATTGTCACCACCACAAAAGGAATTGAAACTACCATTTATACAACTGTTCCATGTCCTAGTGCTTCAACTGTGACAATGACTGTTACTCTGTGCCTGGACCACAAATGTACTGTCGTACCTACCACTGCTGTTGTATCACCAATTGTTACTTACACACTGAGTAAGATAA